CAAGGTAGGAACCCCGCAGTAGGAACTGATGTAGAGGCTCAGAGGAGTGCTGCTTACTGGCTTGCTCCCCAGGGCTTGTTTAGCCTGCTCTCTCATGCCATCCAGGACTACCAGCCTAGGGAGTAGCACTGCCCACAGTGGACTAGGCTCTCCCAAACCAGTCTTGAAAATGCCCTACAGACTAGCCTACAGGCCAATCTGGTGAAAGTATTTTCTGAATTTAGATTCCCAACATGACTCTAGCTTGTGTAAAGTTGATGTAAAACTAGCTACCCCAGTTGAGGACTATACCCTCCCTAGAAAAGGTCAGTAAACAGCCGTCACAGAGTATCCCCTTAATGTTCCTGCTGCCCCTGCCAGCCAGCCTGGGCACTCACTCTCTAGAGTAGTTCCTTCCTAACTCAGCAAATCTGTTTGGATGAACAGTTTTCTCTGCTAGCTAACCTTAGGATTTCATGCTGCAGTAAGACCCTTCTTGTAACCACTACCTAACTCACAACTCAGCAGCCTTGCCTCCAGGCTCCTCCCACCAGCACTGCATTACAGAATTCAAGTGGGAATGCCACTTCTCCAAGGAAAATGGTTCACGCCAGGGGTCCACCAGTGTGTGCCTAGGGGACTACCAACACACAGGGAGACAAGCCAGCTGCTCCGGGTTTCACCAGTCATCAGAGCTTAGAAAATCCGTCATTTCTGTGATCGATTGACTGTCCTGGTTCACACTAGCCCAAATCCATCCCTCTTCCTCCCTTGTCGCACCATGAGACCAAATCTCAACTTTTAAGCAAAAATAACCCCATTTCTAGCTGGCTCACCTATGCCCCTTCTAAGCCATGGAAAGGGAAGTAGAGGGAACCCTTCGTAGCAACTGTGTGGCCAAAACTTGAGGTGGAATGGGAGAAGACCTAGGGGTATGCCCCGATGCCTGGGAGGGGGATAATGTTGTAACTTTGAGGTAACTGGGAATCATAGCTTTCTGGCTCTTGGAACCTGAGGTGGAGGGAGGCAGGCTGGGGGACTCCACCTTCTGCTGACCTGGATGCTAGGATCTGGGTAGAACTGGCTCTGCTTGCCTTTTACTAGTAGGCAATAAGTCCCTAAGTTCTGCCCAGCGGTCTAGCCTCCACTTCTTCCCACACTGGCCAGTAGTTGTGTCTGTCTTGCTGAGGGCTATGGCAGGTGTGGCCTTGTGGGGCTGACCCTCTCTGGCCTGTTTGCAGGCATCCCACTTCTTCTGGGCGCTCTGGGCACTCATACAGAATCAGTACTCCACAATCAGCTTTGACTTCCTCAGGTGTGTACGGGGAGCTGTGGGAAGATGGGTGTGGGCAGCGAGAAGGGAGAGCCGTGATCACCGCATACCAAAGCTAGTCAGAACAGAACATCAGAGTCCTTCCAGTGTGCAGCTGACCCGTCCCCAGCAGGGGCTTCCTGGAGACCCCCCACTAAACCTAGTGAAGGCGTTCCCATCCTCCACTAAGCCTCTACCGGCAGTTCTCAACCTGTGGGCTGTGACTCTTTTGGCAAACCTGTCTCCAAAAATATTTACATTGCGATTCATAACAGCAGCAAAATTACAGTTAATTATGGAGTACCGAGGAAAATAATTTTATGGTTGGGGGGAGGGGTCACCACAACATGAGCAACTGTATTAAAGGGTCACAGCATTAGGAATACTGAGAACCACTGCTCAGAACTGTCCTCCCCAGCATCAGGGCCCACACTACTGATGCCAGCCTAGGCAGAGCCTGAGAACCAACTCTGAGTTTGAGGCCAGCCTAGTCTACATAGTGAGTTCAAAGACAGCCAGGACTGCACAGAGAAACCCTGTCTACAAACAAAAAAGAGTTGACTTGCCCAGACCTGGATAGGTTTGAGCTTGGAGGTGGTCCTCAGGAGGCTGTCGAGCGCCCCGCTCACCCACTTCCTCGCCTTTCCCTGGCAGGTATGCGGTGATCCGATTCAACCAGTACTTTAAGGTGAAGCCTCAGGTATTGGCCTTGGAGCTGCCAAAGTGACCAGCCTCCTGTTTCTCCATGTCCTCTTGCTGCCAGAACTGCTCCCCAGGATACCCTTCTGCCTTGGAGTTGGCAGCCTGGGGCAAGGTGGGCATCCATGGAGAAGGACCCTAGTGGATGCCAAGGAAGACCTCATTTTCCTGTTTGGAGGGGCTAATGAGTCCCAGCATTGGAAGTGGGGGAACCCCCTTCACCGGAGAGGAAGTGCCTGCAGATAGTTGGGGCCTGGACTGCCCCTCTGTGAGAGCACACCATTGCCAGCCTAGGCCTGCTAGAGCTTGGGCTGTCTCAGTTTGTCCTTGACCCTTCCGAGTAGGGGAGGGGAAGGGCTCCTTTCTACCTCTGGTGCCCCAGCCTCCAGTTGAGCCATGTATGTCCCAGGTGAGAGGTGCTCCAAGCTAGCAGGAAGCCAACTCCGCTCGTCATCGCGGGAAAGAGGTCCCAGCTGCTCATGACAGCTTCTCTAGCAGCTGCCGCATCTGAGGCTGCCAACTTCTCCACCCAGATGCCATCCAGTCACCCCTGCCCCAGGTTCCTTCCGTGTGCTGCTGCCCGTGCTCCTGCTAGGTCCCTGCAGAGGAGAGGGATGGCAGACCTGGAGTAGGCATGGCCTTGGGTCAGGTGGCAGGTACCAGAGCCAGCATCCTCCTCCACCTCTCTCCCTTCTATTCTGAACATAACACTTCCCGTTGGGGAATGAATGGTGGACGGCAAGAAGGCAGGGCCTAGGCACCTGGAGGCCAGCAGTTGCCTGGGCATGGCCAGATACTGAAGGTGTTGCCAGCTCAATACCCACCTCCCAGTCCTTACAGTTCCTAAGGGGGTCTGGTATAGGTCCCTACTGTGATTCATTTGTAGATTATCATGGTTTTCTGCATTAAAATGTTTTGTTTCTGGAATGCGGTCTTGGAGGACAGTGGTTTGGAGTCTGATCGGTATGTATGTATAGGGAGGAGCTGGGCCAGGCTCAGCCTCCCTTCTGCCCTGCCTTTGGGGTTTACTCCTGCTTGAGTTAAGGCACAGCAGCCTGTACAGCTCCGTGCCATCCTTGTTGGGGCCTTCAAGGTCACGGATACTAATGGACGACCTGGGGGAAAAGATGTGCCCAGGCATACAAATGGTGCCAGAGTTGGGAAGGAGGGGTCCGCAGGTCACCTGTAGACACAGGTGGCCATAAACTATATAGAGATGCCCACCTTACTCTCTTCAGCCATCCTGGAACCAAGGGCAGAGTGAGCCTCTGCATAGCTGGCTTCTTGTGCAGCCTCCTAGGCCCTTTGTATCACCACCTTGCAGACAAGTGCTATAATGCGTGGGGAGTGGCTAGGGTAACAGAGGGCCCTGTGCTTCATCACCAAGCCTGAGTCCCACTTCACTCCTGATGCTCTAGGCAGGTGCTCCAGGCCAAGGCCACCTTTCTGGGGCTGACCCTGTGCGGGCAGGGGCTAGGCGAGCTTGTGGCTAGCTGTCCAGATAGAGACCAGAACATACTGTCCCTCCTTCTGCCTATCTGCCCTGCCCTGCTTCTCACGGGAAGGATTGAGGTTCCAGTTGGCCAGAGGTCTTGGGGTGGTGACGGCACAGCAGCTAGATGAGGCCCTGTGGCCAAAGCTAACCGGAACACCTTTGGTAGTGAGGACCAGCCATAGGTCCAAAGGAGGAACTGGGAGGAGTCCCAAGATTATGGGATCTAATTTTGTCTGAGATGGAAATTTGGAGTGAAGTTAGGGTCTTTGAGCAAAGCAGCTCCCCCTAGTGGCCACTTAACAGGGCCAGGCAGAGGCCAAAAAGAAGTTTCCAGAACCCTGGGCAGGTCTCTTCTTGTTGGTCCCTCCCTCAGGAATGGACAGGGGAAACAGCTAGAGCTCTGAAGGACAGAGCTAGGAGTCAGGACACTCCCTCATCAACCAGCCCTGGTTCTTGGCGTGTGTGGTCTTTATCCAACTTTATCTACTGTCTCACCAGCATATAAAATTAAGAAAACTTCTGAGGTGTCAAGTCGGCCCCATAGTTCTTAAGTTCCCTCTACTTCCCAACATCTTTGCTGAAGGGTGTGTGTGTCTGTCTGTCTGTCTGTAGCCAAAATAGTGAAAGTTGAGACTATTACCTCAGGTTTACAATACACAGAGCATCTATCTTTACCAGAAACAGTCTTTTCCCTCTTGCCTCGCTTGGTGGACTGGGGGACCCTGGCCCCTTTGGCCATTCCTCTAAGGGTACACCTATTAGATCCCTCATGCTCAAAGGCTGATTCTGGGCCTCTCCAGATGAGGCAGCTTTTCCTAAAGAAGGAGTTTGGACTGGAGCAACACAGCTGGGACCCAAGGCCTGCGAGGAGGAACATACACTGCCCCATTGCCCCCTCAGAGGATGGACGGATGGACGTCCTCTTTGTTAATCTGAACCATTGCTTTGATGAGAGTTCCTGCTCAGCTGTCTCCTCCATACCACGCTGATGGTATGAATTTAACCAAGTCCTGTCTTCTAGAACCCCATTCATCTTGAGGTCTGTCCTTTCCTCCAGCCCTGTCTCCAGAGACAATTCTGTCACAACTATGCCTTTGAGATCTCCATTCAAAGTGTAAGGTCGGGGAGTTTTGAAGAACAGCACTAGAGACCCTGCTCCCTTAATAAGTATGGCAGGCAGCCCACAAAGGAGTTCCTGAGTGTGTGTGTGTGAACCCTCTTGTCCATGGCTTCCACTGGATTCAAGTGGCTCCCTCTCCCAAAGGGAGGGTAAGATTCATGAAGACGTTTTAAGTCTCTTCCTTTTAGGTGGGTCAGTGAAGCCAGAAGAGGGATAGCTGAGCCACTGTTCCTGTTCCTCCAGGCTGCTACAGTGCCTCCCTCAGCAGGCCTGTCCTAGATCTTCCTCTTGCCAAAGCCATTTCTTTCAGACACTTTGCCTGACCCTCCCATGTGCAGCCACCAGGGGGCAGCAGTGACTGGCTGGCGCCAGCCGCCCAGAAGAGAAAGGGCACATTCTGAAATGGTCGGTCTTTATTACACCATCAGAAAACAAATATGCTGGTTAAGTTATTCATCATTATCTTCTTAGTAACAAAATAAAGCACTATCTATGTTTACAGTCATAAAAAGAAACAGTCTGGAGAGAAACAGGGTCAACAGAGATGAGGGAGGCAGGCACCTGGCCATGTGGGGTTTTGGGGTCATTTCCCTGACTCAGGGAAGCTCCAGATCTTTGAATCTAGGTGCTAATGGTCTTTGATTTTCTTGGGACACAACCAGGAAGCTTGACAGGAGTGAAGCCCATTCCCCAGGACAGGGTGGGGGACGAAAGAACCCAGCCTAAGCTCATGAAGAAAGGATGGAGACCAGCTGTCATGGGGTCCCCTCTGCAGGGCTATCACTGACAAAAACGCTCCCATGCCTGGGACATAGGTTGGGAAACAGGGCAGAGCCTCTTGGAGGCCTAGGCAGGCTCTCATGGTCCTGGGAGCTAAAAATGGCTCCGTGGGAACTGACTGGCAAAGTCAGAAGGGAGGAAAGGGGTCATAGGGTCAGGAAACTGGCAGTCCCAGGGGCAGGCTGGGCCCTACAAACACCCAGAGAATATAGTGGGTGTGGTGGGAGCAGGGACAGATGGAGAGAGAAAAATGTACATGGGGAGAAAATACACAGAACCTGAGACACCAGACTGACAAAGAGGTAGCAATTTGGGGACAAAGGAACACAGAAGAAGCCCCCAGAGAAGCATCAAGACACACACCACAGAGCCCATCAACATGACTGGCTCACAGTGACGACTCAGCAGGTATCTTCTGCCGGAAGTGGTGAGATGAAGACGTGAGCCACCCAGACAAACAGTAGCCAGAGGCACGTGGACTTGGAAGACAAAGACAGGACAACCAGACTGCAGAGTACAAAGTAACCCAGGTGACAGAGGGGTGACCTGGGAGGTTGTAGGGCAGGTGTTGTCCCATAATGGTTGGTCTGGGCCAAGACAAAATGGAAAAAAAGCATGTGACCTTAGGGGGGACAGGTGTATCCCTGCCATCCCCTCGAGTAGGTGGACATATAGGAGGGTGTACATCCAGTGGTCCCTGGTCATTAGCCCCAGGGGCTAAAACCCTCAGCCAGCTTAGTTCACCACAGCCACGTGAATCCCACCCAGTCAGGCCATTAGCTCCTCGGATGTGCCCGGAGCTGTGATGGAGAGGAGGACCCCCACTCTGGGAATGTATCTACAAGTGCAGTTTCACACATCACCTGGGCACACCCAAGTCCAAGTACCAAGATAGTTCAGGAAGGCTGGCTGTGCCTGTCCAGTTGGGAACAAGGTCTTTTCCCCCAGCAGTTGACAGGTCGGGCCCAGCTAGCTGGGGATCAGTCTGTGAGTACCACCAGCTCCTCGTCACTCTTCTCATCACCCTCTGAGTCCTCGTCCTCGCTGTACCGGTACATCTCTCCATCGGCCACCGAGTGCCTGTCATCTGTGCCCTCCCCTTCCTCCCGGAGACTGCAGGTATTGATGATGACAGGCATGTTGGGGTCCAGGCCCTGGGGGTCATAGTGCTCCACCAGTGGACGTGCCAGGGGCATGCCTGCTGCCCGAGGGAACAGGATATCTGAGTTCACCTGTGCCTGGCCAGCCTGCGGGCTGAGAGGCGGAGAAAAGTCGCAATTACAGATGTACCCACGAGCCCTCCCTGCCTTCCCGGCCCTCCCTGCCGGCTGGGTAACCGGCATACACTGGTCCCTGTGTGTGCTTCCTGATGGCCAAATTCACTGTCAGCTATAGCTGGAAAACTCAGAGCCGAGGGTATGTTGGACGGTGGCACGTCAATATTACTTCATTCTTGTGTCATTGTCTACAGAGCTCCACTCTGTCATGGTCAAATAAGGAACCTTCCAACGGGATGAATACCTGTGGTGTTCTGAGTTTGCCCTGCGTTTGTCCGGCAGCAGGTACCCCACAGTTAGTCTAAGTCTCATGCCCAACCCCCCATCACCACAGCCTCACACACAGTCATCAGGAGTCACACACAGGCAGGCGACACACAAATCTGCACCCAGATCCTTGCCGGCAGTCACACAAAGACCAGCCACACACAAACCCAGTCCCTCATGGCAGCCACAAGCTGCCTCTGGCCACCAGGGAGGGCCTGCTCACGGGATGGTGTAGCTTTGGCGAGCACCCTGGCGCCGTGTCCTCATTAGGGCCTTGTACTCGCCCACACGCAGCCGCCGGCCCTCCACAACGCAGGTACGCTTGGGCCTTGGCTTGTACTTGTAGTCGGGGTATTTCTCCAGGTGCTGCCGGCTCAGACGGGCCTGCTCCTCATAGTACGGCTGCTTCTCCTGGTTGGTCATGGACTTCCAGCGAGAACCTGATCCAATACCAGGCAAGAACTAAGGGCCAGACACTCAGGATCCCCCCAGTGCATATCCCCCATCTAGAAGCCCTGATTGGACCTTGGTTCTCAATTGGGATTCAAGCATAAGCTCTCATCAAGGGCCTGGCCAAGTGTGGATGCTCTCTGGATCCTGGTCAGGGAACGGATGAGGCTGGAAATGACAGGCAGTCTGCACCACTCTCATGTCAAACAGCTCAGCCACCCCTGAGAAGTCTCTGTCCCAAGGGCATTCAAGAAAGAGCAACCACTCCAGGCCACTAAGTATCCGGTGTCAACCTGAGGTGTAGCTCAGTGGTAGAGCATCTGCCTAACATGTGCCAGACCCTAGGCTGCATTGCCGACATGGCAAAGCCAAAACAGAACCCTGGTGTTCCAGACAAGAATCTTGCACGGTTACTGGAGGGGAATCAGCCATGAAAATACCACCCTTACTCAGCCTTGATGGCCCTGCCTCCTCAGACTCAGACACACAAAACTCTTTGTACTGATGGTCCAAAATACCAGTTTCCCATTTACTGCCATAATACAGGCTATAAGAGGCACTGAGTGTTTGGGAGTGGTAAGGAACATACAAAGTCCCAAGCAGAGGGACAACCAGAAGAGCCCTGCTACCCAGAACATCTCAAGTGCTACACCCTGTAAGATTCTACCAGGGTTCAAAAAGGCACACAAGCCCCAAATATACCCAGATGGCTCCTGTGTAGCAGTCCTACTGAAGTGTGTCCCCTAGACTCAACCCCCTGAGCTGCAGAGGACCCACACCCTGGCCCTTACCAAGGATCTTGCTGATGCTGGAGTTATGCATGTCTGGGAAGGCTTGAAGAATTTTCCTCCGCTCGTCCTTGGCCCACACCATGAAGGCATTCATGGGTCTCTTGATGTGGCTGCTGTTCCGAGACTCGGAGAAATGACGGGAGCCTGAAAGACAGGTAGGTAGGAGTCAGGCAGGCAACAGCTCTGGGGCTGGCAGAGATATCCCTTGCATGGCCACCAGGAGACACTGATGAGGCTGATATAGAAATCAGCTCAGGCTTAGCAAGGCAGGAAGTAGAGAATGAGGAAGAAACCAAAGGCCAGCAGTAAGCAGAGGCCCACCACAGCCAGAGAACAGGCACAGCAGCGATCCAGAATTACAGGGCCCCACAGAGTCATTACAAGATACCAAAAGGTGACCCATGGATAGAGACACCAGGGAACAATAGAGACACATGCTAGGAAGGACCCAAGAAAGAAAGGAAGGAAGGGGTCAGAGACGGACACGGCCCTGTGCCAGAGCCCTTACCATCCATGTCACAGCTCAGCATGGCTTCCTCCAGGGGATGTACACAGCTCTCCTCCAGCCGCTCCTTGGCTGGGGAGGAGTCCAGGCTGATGAGGTCCTGCGGGGGACAGGGACAAAGTAGGGATCAGTACTTCCTGTGTCATCCTGTCTTCATCTTCCATCCCTGCTCCTGTCTTCTTGGAAGAGGAAGAGTGGCCCACACCTTTCGGAATGGCGTATTGGGGGAGTTTTCCAAGGCCCCACTGTGGCTGTGCAGCAGCTGCCGAGCATCCTGGATGGCTTTGGTGACAGCGTCCCCCTCACCAAGGAAGCCTGTCGGAGAAAGAACAAAGTGAAGGGCACGTGACACGAGGGCTTTGTCCCGGGAGCAGCCCACACATTTATGCTTCCTGACACGTCACACCTAGGGGCTCCCGGTGGTGGTACACTCCCTGCCCATCAACACACCTCCCTGCAGGACTGCTGGCTGCAGGGTGCCAAGGGGCTGGGGACAAAGCAACATTCCATCTCAGTGGTCTGACCCTGTGCTGTCTAATCTGATCCTGGAGAACAAGTGGGGCACGGAAGGAGGTCTCCTGCAAGCAAGCCTCATCCCTGGCTTTTAAGAAAGCAGAGGCTGGGGTGGGGCTCAGTGAGAACTGTTTAAAACCCCAAACTGGAACTGAGAAAGGGAAGGAGGACCGTGCCCAAGGTGGCACCTGAATCAACCGTCCTTAGGTGAGAGCAGATGAAAAGGCTTACCCAGAGGCAGGCTGGGGGGGCTGGACTGCAGGTCCCTTGTGGGAGCCCCGTGGCTGGAGGGGCGAGGCCCACAACTGTTCATCTTCAGGCTGGGAGAACTGGAGGTGTTGGGCAGCTCAGGTACCTTGGGCTTGGCTGTGAGGTTTAGTGGTTGTGGGGGCTCCTGTGGACCCAGAAAAACTTGGAATGAGAAACCCCCGAGGAGGGCCACCTATCACGGGACAGACAGGACTCAAGGAGAATGAGCCAAGAGCAAAGAGGGGCAGTGGCTAGGTGAGGGAGGAGGTTCCAGGTGTCAGTGGGGAGGGGAGTACCTGCAGGGGGTGGTGGGTGGCCACCCCCGGCCTCTTCACCACAGGGGCAGGCGGGCTGTGCAGCAGCTGCAGAGGGTACTCCACTGTGGGAAGAAAAGTGGCAAGGGACAAAGTCCCACGTGAGCTCAGAATAACAGGCACCTGAGTGACAGGTTCCAGGACCACAGGTAGGTGGGAAGAGCCTAGAGCTGGTCTAACCTGTTCTGTTCTCATCAGGGGAACCGTCTATCCCCTCTTCCCATATGGTCCCTGCAGGCTGATGGCCCTGCCTGCCCTGTCCAACCCACTCTAAAGAGCTTCCCATGCACATGCAAGGGGCGGCGGCCGCCCTCCCCAGCCTTGTACCTCCTGTGTGTAGGAGGCAAAGCTACTGTGTTGGGAAGAAGCTTCATGTGATTTCCCTCTATGACAAAGTGTATGGTCTGTAAGGGGTACTCAGAGCATCAGACTCATTTCACAGGTTATTGGTCAGGGTTCTCTACACAGCCTAACAGGGAAGGAAAACCTTGTGAATTCAGCAGGCTGCCCACAAACCCATTCCATGGCAGCGCCAGGATTTGAACCCAGGTCTAGACTACATAACCTATCCCTTGGCCTGTACACTTCTCTCTCTCCTATCTGCTTCACCTTACTAGGCTTAGAATCGAGGGGGAGTGCGGTGGAGATGAGCCTGTGTACAAAAAAAAAGACCACATGGGGGCCGTGTCCGGGTACTCTGTTCCAGCTAGGATGGAGCTGGGATAGTAAGATGGAGGATATTAGGAGGATGAGGAACCCAGGTTGGCTCTGTGGCTGGACTCAGTCAGGAGCAGTCTGCACTGCTCCCCATCCTGTTGTGGCATTTACAGGCAGCATGTCTGCCCTGTCCCCACTCCATCTATGGGCACTGTCTCCAGATCTTACTGGGATCCTCCCATGAGTCACGTTCATTGCCATCCCCCGCAACCCGAGAGCACACTCCTCGCTCGAGTGGTCCAATGCACCCACTTCCCAGACCCCATGGTCCAGTCCTCCACAGCCTCCCAGATCCCTGTCGCTCTCACATGCCTTTGCAAGCCCTTTCCCTGAGCCTTGCACCCCAGTTCCAGTTTCTCCCTCATGATGGATCCTACCACCCCTTCTCCAGGACCCAACCATCAAGCACCACCTCCTCAGGGAGCCTCCCCAACTCTCCTCTCTCCTGAGTCTCCTTGCTTTGGGGCATGCTCTTCCTTTTCATTCTTCTGCTTAAGTTCAGAAAGGACTTATTCTTCCACCAGAAAGGCTACAGTGTAAACTAACGCATGAAGCGTGGCTCTGGGCTCCTTCCCTCATCTCCAGAAAGCTGCCTCTGGGGTGGCCCCTCCCTGTCCCACTCACCTGGCTTGCACGGAATGGGCTGAATGGGCAAAGCCAGCTGGGAGTCAGGAGTGACAGGCAAAGGCTGGTGACTTGGGGGGAAGGCTGGGATCATGACATAAGGCATGTTAACCTGCTGAAGGCAAAGAAACCCACTGTAAATTCCTGGGGTCAGCCCAGGACCTGGGGTGCTGTGGGTATACACAGGGCACAGAGTAGGGACAATTTCCCAAAGGATCTGTCATATGACATCTGTGAGCCTATCTCCTTGTCCTTAAGTATCAACGGGGGCCAGAGGGAGACATCCTGGGGTGGAAATTGGAGCAAAAGTAGAGTCTCTTCATCCAGCGGGGGATGGAGGCAGGATTGTTCCATAGCCCCCTTTCCCCGTGGCTCCCCAGGCCAGTGGCACCCTCGCCTGTGCCCCTCCCGTCATCACCTGGATCTGCTGCTGGAGGAGGTTGATCTTGTGCTGCTGCTGAATCAGCTGCTGCTGCTGCTTGGCAATCTGTGAGGCATGGAGTTGACAGGGCAATCATGGACGGCCCCGGCCCTCCTCGGGTGCCTGGCCCAGCTTACCCCTGACTTCCCCAGGAGGCCAAGTAGAGAGCAAGGGAACAGAACAGAGTGCCAGGGGACAGAGCAAAGCACCAGGGACGGAGCTGAGCTCCAGGGGACACAGCTGAATGCCAGGGGAGAAAGTAGAGCACCAGGGGACAAGCCTAGTGCCGGGGGACACAGCCAAGCGCCAGTTCTCAGAACTTGTTCTTCTCTTGCCAGTAGTCACCCTTCCCCACGAAGGACTCCAAAGCCCCGACCCAGGCACACCTGCTCCTGCTGCTGCCTGGCCAGTTCCATCTGTTGCTGCTGCTTCTCGAACAGCATGGCTGCCATGTTCTTCTGCTCAGAGTGAGCCGTAAGGAGCTGATCCCGAAGGGCGGATAGCTGATGGATCATGACCAGAAGCTGGAGCTCTTTCTCAGCCAGGCTCTCTTGGGTCCCTGCTCCACAGAGAAATACCACGGTGGGAGTTCTTATTAGCTTACCTGTCTATCTGCCCACCCACCCATCTGACAATTGCTCTACGCCAGGATCCTGCCAGCCCAGTCTCCAACCTCTCTGTACTTTAGGGGATTTTTTTGATCTATTGATTGGCACAATGACAGTCACTTCACAGGGTCAGGTTGAGATGAACATGCTAATGTGTGGAAAATCGTTTGGCTAGTATCTGGCAATGTTTGCTCATGTCCCTGCCTTCCACTTCAACCTGGCTGGTTGATGTGCCAGTTTACTCCTAACAGCTGAACTGGGGACCATTTATACTCAGGATGCCTCTGGAAAATGCCCAAGAAGCTCAGGCCCCCATTTCTGGGACCCCCAGCCAGTAAATGGGGAAGAATGGAGTGGAAGCATTGATTTAAAGTTTCCACTGTGGGTGTGGTCAAGAACACTGACAAAATGATCACTCTGAGGTAAATAGTATCACTCAATACGGTCCTGGAAGCCTACCCTCAACTCCAACAGTGAGAGCAACCTGTCAGCTCACAAGGTAGACTGAGGGCAAGCGGGAAGGCTGAGTGCCGAGCACCTAGCCCCAAGGGTCCTGAGTGAGAGCTTAGATCCATCCCAGGGATCTGCTTCCAGTGAGGCCTCCCTGCTGGGGATGGGCCAGACTGCTGCTTAGAGACGAGGGCAAGGCATGGTGATGACCCTCAGAACCAGGTGGGAGCAAAGACACAGGTCAGGGGCGTGAGGTGCTGCCCTCTTTAGCCAGAATGTGTGACTAGACCAGAAGGGAAAGGCTCTGAGATGCTCTCCCTGCCCTCTGTACACAGGTCTGTACGCACCTTTGACATCCTTAGCTTCCACAGAACTTCTTCCCAGAAACCTCTCCTTCCAGTCACTGGACAGCAGCTTCTCAATGGCTGGCACAACTGGAAGCAGCAAGGTCAGGGCAGGGTGAGGGCCCAGCAGAGACCAGCTTAGACCTCACCTCTGACCCGAGAGGTATCATTCCTACCTTCCTGTAAGTTGCGGTTGAAGTCCAACCTCTCCTGGCTTCCCGAAGCAGCCTCGGAAGCTGCTGGTCTCTTGGGGTCTGGGGAGCCCCTGCTCTCCGGTGAGGCACAGTTCTGTAAGAGACACTGAATTATCACTGCCACTCCCAAGAAAGGGGAACACGGGGCAGAGAGGGCTGAGCACCACAAAGGTGTCCTTTCTGAGGGACCCTGTGACATTCCTAGCCCATGCTCACACTACCTGATAAATGACACAGTGACATTAATAAGGACTTGGGGATAAGAGACCTGTGTTTCAGCCTAGGCTGGGTGGCACACAGGGAGCTGGATCTCACACAAGTCCCTGACAACTCTGAAAGTCAGGCCTGTCTCTGGGATCTATGCACTAAAGTATCTGAAAGAGACCAATACGTCAGGCGGGGCCGACGGTGGGTCTGGAATTACCATGGAAACACACTGCTAGGTTTGTCTATGAGGGTGGTTTAACTGACAAGGGGAGTCTCACTCTGCATGTGGAACCCTGGACTGTTTTACCTGGCCCCTACCAGACTACAGGCACACCATGGCCAGCTGCCTCAAGTCCCTGGCCATCAACGCCTTCTCCACGATGTGTATCCTCGAACTGTGAGCCAATAAATCCTCCTTTAGGTTGTTCAGACATCTGTCTCAGTACTAGAAAAGGAGCTAACACAGAGTCCCCTCAGCTAGTCGTTATTATGAACCTGTGTGGTGCTCCAGCAAGCTACTTGCTTATAGGCACCCACTGTGGCTTCCCTAAGTGGTCCCTGGAGCTGGAGCAGAGTTTAGTTCCCAGCACCCACATCCAGCTCCAGAAGATCTAACACCCTCTTCTGTTCTCTGAGGGCAACTCCACTCAATGTGTACACACCCCTAGACGGATACACACCAAAATAAAATCCCCCAAAACAAAACAAACAAAAAATTCAGAGCTGAAGAGAAAACTCAGCAATTCAAAGTATTTGTTGTTCTTGCAGAACTCAGGCTTAGTTCCCTGTGCCCACATGGTGGTTCATAACCAATCCGGTTCCAGGGGATCTGTTGCTCTCTTCTGACCTCTGCGGCACCAGGCACGCACGTGTTACACTTACACACATTCAGGCAAAAACCTCATTACATAAGAAGCATTCAACCAGACATGACGGAATACATCTTTACTCCCAGAACTCAAGGGGCAGAGGCAGGGGAATCTCTTTGAGTTCCTAGCCAGCCTGATTATAATAGAGACCCTGTCTCAACAAAATAAAACAAAACCAAGAAGGGGGTGGGGAGGAGAAAGAGGAGGAGGAAAAGGAGAGGGAAGAGGAGGAGGAGGAGGAAGCAGCGGCGGCACCAGGGCCACAGCCACTGCAGAAGCAGCAGCAATATCCCATGTCTCATCTAACAGAAGCCTCAAGCCTCCTGGTGCCTAAGGCCCGGTCAGTCCTCTAGGACCGTTCCCTGACCATTCCCACTCTTCCAAATGGAGCCCCTCTTTAGAGTTATCAAATTCAATTTCCTGTAACAGAAGACCTGCAGAATCCTTACCATATACTTCAGTTCTCTTTCCTGTGTGTGTTCCCATGTGAGTGTGGGTACGTGTGTGCAGGTAGGTGTACCTCTATGTATGTGTCTGTCTGTCCGTCTGTCAGTCCACATTTGACAAGGACCTATCATTTATTTACTGAGGCAGGGGTGTGTGTGTGTGTGTGTGTGTGTGTGTGTGTGTGTATAGGTCCACATTTGACAAGCACCTGTCATTTATCATTTATTTACTGAGGCAGGAGTGTGCGTGCGTGTGTGTGTGTGTGTATAGGTCCACATTTGACAAGCACCTGTCGTTTATCATTTATTTACTGAGGCAGGAGTGTGTGTGTGTGTGTGTGCGTGTGTGTGTGTGTGTGTGTAGGTCCACATTTGACAAGCACCTGTCATTTATTTACTGAGGCAGGTCTCTTGTTCCAGGGACTCCCAATCACTGCCTCCAGGCAGCTGCCACACTTTCCTGGCTTTTACAAAAGTTCTAGGGATTCAAACTTCCATGCTCATGTCTGTGCAGCAAGCACTTTACCCACTGACTCATCTCTCCAACCCAAGTCTTTCCCAGGCCACGTGTATCTCATCCTCAACTAGTCATCAGGTATGAGGACTGTGGCCTCTGAGAATGTCACGCAGGGAGGGATGGAGGCAGCCAACCCCTGTCCTGCTCTGACAGGTGACTCAAGCAGCCCTGACCACAGTGGCTCCTCCCCTCTGTTCACCTGGGCCCCATCTAGCCCTAGCAGAGAACGTTTTTGCACACAAGCTAGGCCAAGAGCATGCAGGCCTGTTGGAAAGGGTGGGTTGGTCTCAGCTGTGAAGGCACAAAGGCAGAGTGGGGACGCTGACCGGAGAGTCCCTAGAGTGCTAGGCACCTGAGGAGGAGCTTTTGAGTTGGCAGCATCCTGGGAGGCCAGGGCTGGGTCTCCAGGCTGGGGCTCCACTGCAGTGGCCGTGCCTTGGGGAGCCTCGTGGCAAGGCTCCTTCTTCTCCTCAGACTTGATGGTGCAGTTCACCATGGTGCTAGCGCTGTCTGGGGCCAGCTGCACAGAGACGGGGCTCCGCATGGACATCCTGCGGAAGGGGAGACAGAGGGCACTGAGCGAATGCGAACTGAGGTCCATGGCCCAGTTATAAACCCACCCTGCCCGCCAGGAAGTGCCTCCACCCTTTGTTTCCCCAACAAAGCACCGCCTGGAACCGCTCAAAGATGCGTACGCCTACACAGGCCTACTTTAGAACCAGGTTTCTCCTTTTTCTTTGCTGTTCTAGGGCCTCACACATGCAAAGGGATCCCAGCTGAGCGGCGTCCTCAGCCCACCATTTCTTGCAGTGTTGAGTCTAGTGAACTGATGGGCTCATCAGAGGAAGCCAGAGTGAGCTAACTGGCTGCTTCTGAACCCAGGAGAAGTGAACACTGTATGTGGGTCAACATATGTAATGGATCTGGCTACTACAGGTTAAGACCAAGAGTCAGCATGATAAGAGCCTGAATTTGAAGGCTGGGTATGGCCCACGCCTTTAATACCAGCAGTTGGGAGGTAGAAGCAGACAAATATCTGGGAGTTGGAGGCCAGCCTGGTCTACAGAGTGAGTTCCAGAATAGCCAGAGCTACACAGTGAGACCCTATCCCACAAAAAGAGTTTGGATCTGAAATTCCAGTTCAATGACCAACGTCTCTAGAATCGGCAGGAGCCCTCACACACAGGGTACAGATGCCTTAGTTCCCAACTTGACAGAAAGAAAGCTGAGAGCCATCTTCCTAGTACAAGACATTTTTTTTTAATGGACTTGAAGATCAAACCTAGGACACAAGCTAAGTATCTACCCTAGGACGAACCTAGAACCAGCTGCTTATTCTCACTGCAGACACAAGTCAAAGGGAAGCATTTTTTATATTTACACGTGTCAGTATATCACACACCTAATTGTAAAATATCAATGAATGGCATTCTGTTCTGCTCTCCAGCTGGGCATCCCTAGTGGACTCTGCCCCTGCTGGCACTGATATTTGTAGTGCCAGGCTTGGGGATTCTTTTTTTCTTTTTATGTGTCTGAGCATTTTGTCTATATTTAAATATATCCTCCATTTACGCCTGGTAACCCCAGAGCCCAGAACAGGGCACAGATCCCCTAGAACTTGAGTTTCAGATGATTGTGAGCCACCAACGGGTACTGGAAACTGAATCCTGGCCTTCTGGAAGAGCAGTAATGGCTCCTAACCACTGAGCCCTCTTACCAGTCCCTATGCCTTGGGTTTTTACACTTGTTTGCTTTCTAAGGAAGGGTCTGGGACAGCCAGGCTAGTACTGAACTGTAGAGCTGGGGAGGGCCTTGAACTCAAGCGCTGGGCTCACAGGCCATGCCCCATGCCCAACTTGCAAGATGCTTGGTAGACTCTCCCGCAGAGCCACCTCCTCTCCCGCAGAGCCACCTCCTCTCCCGCAGAGCTACCTCCTCTCCTGCTACACGACTGCTTAACTTCACCACAGGACGAGCAACAGCCAACTCTGCAGAGTAGTTTGCAAGATCAATTCAGGCGAAAGGACAGAGCAGCAGTTGCCCACCCTCCCCAGTCCCCGAGCAAGCACTCAGAGGTGTGCTCTGGGCTCCAGTGGCACTCAAAAACCTAGCCTCTTACAAAAACATTGGGAGTTGGGGCCTCACCAGAGGTGATTGGGTCAGGAGCCCTTTGCCTTCACAAATGGATTAATGTCATCACTAGGAGGTGGGCATGTGTGCCGTAATTGAGTTGACTAGTTTATTAGCTGACTGGTGTCCGTGTGGCCTCCTGCTGTGGGGTGACACAGATAGGTGGCCTTTGCCTTCCCAGCTTCTGCAATGGTAGAAAATAAATGGCCTTAGATGCATAGGGATTCAGTTTTCCGGGCAGGTGTAGGGCAACCATCAGATGCAGCAACAGACCCTTAAACAGAAGAGGCTGTGTGACACACAAGTGCCACCTTATACCCCCAGCAGATTCCTGTAGCCACACTCCTCTCCAGCTTAGCAGGCCGTGGCCCCACATCAAAGCTGTTCACTTGGAGTTTAAGTTGCAGCAAAAATGACAACATCACGAGCTAGAGAGATGGCTCAGCGGTTAAGAGCACCAACTGCTCTTCCAGACGACTTGCATTCAATCCCCAGCAACCACATGGTGGCTCACAACCATACGTAATGGGATCCGATGCCCTCTTCTGGTGTCTCTGAAGAGAGAGACAGTGCACTCACATATGTAAAATAAATAAATCTTTTTTTAAAAAAAATGACAAAATCCTTTTCCTTTCTTCAGGGTCCCACAGTCGGTGTCTTCTCACTAGGTTTTTTATCAACTTTAGCAAACAATTTCTCCCTCCATCGAGAACTTTCATCTCTTATTTTATGTGTATGTAAGTATGCCTGAGTGAATTTTGTGTACATGCATGTGCCCATGGAAGCCAAAGAAGGCATCAGATGCCCTGGAGTGGAGTTACAAGTCACATGAGCCACCGTGTGTGCTGGAAACCAAGGAAGTGTTCTTAATTGATGAGCCTGTTCGATCCAGCACTGGGACTCTAGCATTCCTGGGACCGCAGGTTTGAGAATGCTGAGGGAGCCAGGGATAGACAGACTGATCACAAATGCTGCAGCACCAGTCACAGCAGATCAGAGGGGGCGCCACTAACGGATGCAGTGGATACACGATGATCCACAGCCCAGACGGTCCCAGACTTCATCTTCATCATGAAAAGTGTGCTGTTTAAAATCCTACGGGATGGAGTGTATGTAAGTCGGGGGAGAGTGCTTGCCTAGCATGTATGAAGTTTCAGACTCCGTCTCCAGCACCACACCCAACAGAGAGTGCCAAAACAAAACTAAGAGCTGGGTGGTGGCGCACAACTTTAGCCCCAGCACTTTCACGGCAAAGGCAGACAGATCTCTGAGTTCAAGGCCAGCCTGGTCTACAGAGTAAATTCCAGGACAGCCAGGGCTACACAGAGACGAGATATCTCAAGAAACAACCACAAAAACTGGGTGTGGTGGTACACACCTGTGGTCCTCAGGAGGTAGAGGCAGGAAAGTCACAAGTTTGAGGTCATCCTTGGCTACATAACAAGGGACAGCCTGGGCCTAATGAGACTGTTTTTAAAACTCCAACAAAGCCAACAAGAAGCCTGGAAGGTAGAGGTGCTTGCTATCCAACAGTGCAAGCCTGGCTGTCTGAGTTCGATCCCTGGAACCTATGAAAACGTAGAAGGTAAGAACCACTCCAGAACTGTCAACTGACTGCTATACACACCGTACACAGATACCTCCCCCTGCCTCTCACACACACACTAAACACATTTAAGGCAAGACAACAACAACAAAAACCGTTATGAATTGTTTACATCTAAAATTTTCCATCTAATACTTTCAAATCACAGTAGATTGAAAATAAAGGGACAGTGCATTTGTATTATGACATCAATCCCATGCCGGGTATACTGCAGTCTACAGATGACACCAACAACTCTGGTACTGTGTACTGAATCATACAATGTTACAGCTTTGTAGACAACAGAACACTAAGGTGTTTTAAGAATAGTTACAGGAGGCCGGGCAGTGGTGGTGCACGCCTTTAATCCAGCACTTGGGAGGCAGAGGCAGGTGGATTTCTGAGTTTGAGGCCAGCCTGGTCTACAGAGTGATTTCCAGGACAGCCAGGGCTACACAGAGAAACCCTGTCTCGAAAAACCACCAAAAAAAAAAAAACAAAAAGTTACAGGAATATTATAATTTTATAATTGGTACATATGTATTTAATTTGATTGCATCCTACAGATCAGACCACAGCAGACCCACCCCCCCACCCTCGCACCCACCCACTTTGTGAATGCAAGGTGCCTCAGGAACCCAGGAGAGAGCAGGGTGACAGCAGACTAGTGGACCTTCATAGGTCCTCGTCTCACCTGGATGAAGAGAAAAGAGACCCCAGCCCAGTTTGGCCCAGGGGTCCTGGGGGTGCCTGAAGAACCGGCAGAAAGCAGGCAGCTTAGCCCATCCGGCTGGGGAGGGGCCAGGAGCCAGGCCCCGTATGGGGCAGGAGTGGGGGCGGGGTATTATCCTGGAGCTGAGGGCAGCAATTACATAACAAACAAACCCGGGCTCAAGCTGTGAATTAATCAAACCGCTGAAAATAAAACCTTCCTCTCAGGAACTTCAGACAAAAGAAATGAAAACAACCAGGCTGGCTGGAAAATAAAAGGCAGTGGTGCTGAAAGCTGGGACAAAAGGAAACCAGACAATAGGGTGTTGGACAAAAGCAATAAAGCCAGAGGAAGTGTGACAGGCGCACAATGAAGGCCTGTGGGCTTCTGATCCCTCGGCTCACAGCCACCTCTGTCCCACACCCACTGGCTGCCACCAGGTCGCCTCCTCTGGCCAGACTTGGGTCCCAAGGGTTTTTTTTCTTCATTAGGCCCAGCCTCTAGGCTTCCAACCCCTACCTCAGTCCAAGCAGTCATGGCTACCGCAGCCAGAGAGCACGGTCAGATGAACGCCCAAGGCCAAATGCTGCCCCATTGGATGTGGTGACCAGCCATCCACCCCACTGAGGGGGAGGTAGAAGAGACCACTGCCTGTCCTGACTGCCCAGAACCAGCCCCACTGGCTACATTTGGCTACTGAGCCCTGGTAACACAACCAGTTCGAGTAGGAGTGTGCCGTATCAAACACACCAAGGGTCCCAAAACTTGGCGTACAGGTGCATTAGCATGTTCATAACTGGCTGTGGGTACAAACTGATGGGTTAGGTTACATAAGACATTCTCTTTTTGTTCCTCTTTTACATCTTTTAAAGGTCTATTTTTTTTTCCTTGTGTCTCATATGTATGTGTGTGCCCTCTTAAATGGAAATGCTGAAGGCAGAGGCATCAAATCCCCCTGGAGCCGGAGCTGTGAGTAGTTAGTTGTAAGCCACCTGGTCGCTTGTCCTTTATAAGAGCTCTTAATCTCTGAGCCATTTTCCTAGCACTAGACAAAACATTCATTTCACCTCTTTTTATCTTTCCCTGAGACAGAGCCTAACTGTGTAGGCCAGACTGAACTCAAG